CAGGTATTTGATTCTTTTTGTTTTAATTGAAAAGGGGATTTTTTTTTTAATCTCTGCTTCTTCTGCTTGGTTGTTTGTGTATAGGAAAGCCTCTGACTTTTGTGTGTTGATTTTATATCCTGCTACCTTGCTAAACTGGTGGATGGTTTTGCTTAGTTCCTCTGTGGAGCTTTTAAGGTTTTCCATATAAATTAACATATCGTCTGCAAATAAGGATAGTTTTACTTCTTCTTTCCCTATTTGGATTCCTTGTATGCCTTTTCCTGTCTTATTGCTCTGGCTAGAACTTCCAGTGTTATGTTGAAGAGCAGTGGTGATAGTGGACGCCCTTGTCTTGTTCCTGATTTCAAAGGAAAGACTTTCAGCTTTTCTCCGTTGAGGATAATATTGGCTGTGGGCTTATTATAGACAGCTTTTATCATGTTGAGGTATGTTCCTTCTATTCTGAGGATTTCAAGGGTCTTAAACATAAATGGGTGTTGAACTTTGTCAAAAGCCTTCTCCACATCTGTTGATATGATTATGTGGTTTTTATTCTTCTGTCAGTTGATGTGATGGATTACATTAATTGATTTTCTGATGTTGAACCATCCTTGTGCTCCTGGGAAAAAGGGGAGGTAACCACATGGTGTGGCAGACCTCTCCTGACCCACCTGCTGCTCCCCTCAGCATTGTACTTCATAGATCTGCCTGTTCTGCTCCCCACTCTGTCTCGGGTGAATCCTCTTGCACTCTGGCTTATACTCCAGCTCTTGTGTAAATAAACAAACAAATAAATAAAATATTTTTTTAAAAAAAGAGTTACATATTAACACCATAGTGACTCACTTAGCCTTTCCTCTCCTGTTAAATGCCAGCATTTTTCCATTTAAAAAAGCAACTATATTGTTAATTTTGATTATAAAATAATACAGTAGTATCATATGAAATTCAAATCTTATAGGTAATACAACCTGTAGTACAGATTCCCCCATCCTCCCACCCCCTGAGAGACCAATACTATAAACTGGTAATATATCCTGCCATTCTTCCCTTTCACATAGTAAAATCCACCAAGAAATGGGCATCTAGCAAATATAATAAACTGTTTTCCAAAAAATAAATCTTCTTTCAATCTTCTCTAAATTACCCTTTCCACTGGAGTGTTTGACAAGTTGCCATGAAGTGCATTCACGCCTTCATTCTTTTTTTTTTTAAAAAGATTTATTTATTTATTAGTACAGAACTGGGGTACAGGTCAGAGATGCAGAGGGTGAGAGGATTCACCAGAGACAGAGTGGGGAGCAGAACAGGCAGATCGACGAAGTACACTGCTGAGGGGAGCAGCGGGCGGGTCAGGAGAGGTCTGCCACGCCATGTGGATCTCCTCCAGGGCAAGGCGGGAATCAACTCATGCGGAAGTGGCTTTAGCTTCTTAGTGCTGTGCTTTAACCCGCTGCGCCACCAGGGAGGGCCCGCCTTCATTCTTTTTAACTGATCGAGATTATCCCATTGAATGGGGTTACCATTATTTGTTTCATGTACCCGATTGTCCCAGAGCTTTGGTGAATATCTTTTGCCATAAATCTTGGTGCATAAATCACTGTAATTTAAATTATTTAGATAAAGTCCAGAGTGGAACGACTCAGTCAGATACTGTCTATAGCTTTCCAGAAAGTTTCTTCTGTGCCCCCCGGCGCGTGTGAGGGTGCCCACCCCACTGAGCAGCCCTAGCCCCAGCAGAGCAGTGAGCGCTGGGGCAGACGCTGGGGCGTCCCGGTCACTCTGTGTCCTGTCCATCAGAGCGTCCTGTCCTGCGTAAGCTCTATAAAAATCCTTCTTGAACTTAATATTTAAATGTAACAGACACCGATACGATATGGAAATAAAGAGCTGGTGCAGGTGTGAGGTGAGAAGTGGAGCCACGTGACTGGCGGGACCCGGTAGGAAGCACCCCACACCCACCACAGCTATTGCATAGGGGGTTTCAGCCGCTACTAACATCGGACCGGAAGAGGGCGCTCCAGCGACAGCCAGGGGCTGGTAGGACAGACTTGCCCTTCTCGGGGAATGGGGGTGGGCTGTGGGAGCCAGAGACAGTGGCCTGCCTGGAGGAGAGTGCTAGAAAAACCACCAGCTCCCTCTGCCATCTCACAGGCAAACACACACTAGCCAGGGGCTCTGAAATTCTCACCATAATGAACCTAAGAATGTCAGCCTTTGATATGAGACAGTCCTTATCAGTACCTTTAAAATATTTATTTATGCTTACAGAACTGAGGTATAGGCCAGACGTGTTGGGGGTGAAAGATTCACCAGATGCAGAGTGGGGAGCAGAACAGGCAGACTGACAAAGTACACTGCTGAGGAGAGCAGTGGGTGAGACAGGAGAGGTCTGCCGCGCCATGTGGGTCAGCTCCCTGTCCGGGGATGGAACTCAACTCAGGATTGAAGTGGTGGCAGGGAGCTAGTGCTGAGCCTTAACCCCTAGGCCACCAGGGAGACCCAGTAAAGTGATATTTAATCATCCCTCAAAACATTTGTTGGATGTTAAATAATCTTTTTCAGTTTTATGATTAAAATATTAATTTCTTATGATTCTCAAGAAAACCTTCCAAACTGTGATATGTGTGACATGTGTGACATGTGTCAGTCGCGCTCCCCGAAAGAGGCTGCCCCCTTCACGCGGGCCCACATCTCCTACCTTGTCTACCTCTCTGGCTACTGCAGGAGACACAGACAGTCTGGACGGATGGTCTCTACATGGCACACTCACAGAGGGCCTTCCAGCTGGCCTTCCAGCTGATGGAGAGCACACAGATTTGGAGGGCTTCATGGAGCCCAACTGCAGGAATACACCTGACATTAAAATGTTAACAGGCTCAAAAAAAGTTTTTTAAGGCAACAGGTTCTTGCTCCATTGCTCTCTAGAAATGCATGGTCTTCTACCCAGTGAGGAGTCAACTCTGCCAAATAATAATGACTTTTAAAAGGTAAAAATATAGTTTTGGCCTCACACTCTCAGAGACTCACTTCTGTATTCTCGTTGCCATTCTCAGCTACCTCCTGGCTCAAGGCGGCTGCTTCAACTTAAGCTATTCCATTGTCATTCCACCAGCAGGAAAGGGCAAAGAGTGGAGTAACCCTCACCCCCCTCCCATTAAAAGTATTTCCTAGAAATTGCACAAAACACCTGAATCTATATCCCATGGCCAGTATGGGCCACACCCAACTGGAAGAGAGGCGTGGAATCCCGTCTTTATTCCACACATCTCCCTAGAAGCTCAGGGCTCTCAAATTAAAAACAGGAGGCAAGTGAAGATCAAGGGACTAAAGCAGCCGCTCCCAGTCTTGCCTTTCGGCTGTGCTCCACAATGTGGCTCTTCTCTCTGGCACTGCTCCTCGTTTCTGAGCCCTCCAACTTCCACCTGCTCCAGACTTGGGTGACCACACCACCAGCTCCTGAATGAACTGAGCTCCCTCAGTTCTTTCTGGGTCTCAATCCAAGTTCCTAGAGGAAAAGTGACTGGTCCTGCTTGGTTCAGGGATAGTTCCTCAATGCTGCGCAATCTTGTCCCGTTTAGGAAGAAGAAGCAAGTTTTTTAAATGGTGTTAGTGAAAGTAAGGAATGAACATCTCCATGTTAGCTTATAAGCCCCATCTCATGACTGAGCCTAATGCTCAGCCTGCTGGAGACAGCAGTAGTTGTATCTGCTTGTCCCTAGGGCAGGGATACATTTGTTTAAATCCTCTCCCCCAAACCTTGCACCCTCAATATTTAATTTTACAGAGGCCAACTGCTTGCCCACATCTACACTGCAGAACAGGGCTGGCACAGAACAAGAACCTAACTCCCAGTCTCTAGAGAGACTTCCCAGAATTCCTGGCACCTCTGTTTTGTCTACCCGATTGTTCCACAGTTATGCTTACCTGTCCTCCTGTCTGGTGCTGGGGCATACTCCCAGAGGTGAACAGTGAGAGCCCCAGGCTGGAGGACACAGGTTATGCCACTCAGATTTCAGCCTTCCTAACAAAGACTAATGTCTCCCCCAGTTCCCCTTGGGGGGAATCTATCCTGACTTGGCTTTGACCAAAGCTAGACTGAGGGACACTGAAAGGTGGGATGCGAGATCTCCTTGGCCATCCACCCAGGGTTGCTCAGAAGAGGGCCCAGTCATAGAGAGGGGCCCACTGTCTCCTCTCCTCCACCCTAAACCCTCTCCTCATGACTCACTCTGCCTGTCCCCACAGGCCTCCAACCCTCTGTGGCAGTCCAGGGGTTCCACCACTGTGTCTTCGGGAGGCCGTTTCCGCTGTCCATCCTGCAGGCATGAGGTTGTCCTGGACCGACATGGTGTGTATGGCCTGCAGCGAAACCTGCTAGTGGAGAACATCATTGACATTTACAAGCAGGAGTCATCCCGGTGAGCTGTCAGGGCTCCTCCTTGAGGCCCAGCCAGGCCCAGAGAGCCAGAAGAGAGGGACTGAAACAATGAACCTGCCCCTTGGGTGTCAGAGGAGGGGACTGGACCCAGAGAGGGGAGGGACTTGCCCGGCTTGCCTAGCTTGGGCAGTCTCTGCCACCTGGCCAGGGAGTCCCCCTCACCTCTCCACCTGGAAAGGGGCTGGCGGTTCACCAGCAAGGTCCTGACCAACCGCCCACAATGTGCTACTCAGTGGCATGTCTCAGGAGTAGATGAGTCCTGGGCCTTGGTGCCTCTAGCCTTGGGTCTTTGCAGCCCTCGAGTGCAGGGCAGCGAGGCGGTACCTAATGCCTGGCTCTAGCACCAGCTGCAGGAGCAGAGAAGGTAGTAGAGGTGAAAGCTGCAGAGAAAGTGTTCACAGGCCCTACAGTCTCAGAGCCCACCTCCCCCGCCTGGGCCCCTGAGCCCCCCGCCCGCCTCCCTGCAGGCCTCTGCACTCCAAGGCTGAGCAGCATCTCATGTGTGAGGAGCACGAAGACGAGAAGATCAATATCTACTGCCTGAGCTGTGAAGTGCCCACCTGCTCTCTCTGCAAGGTCTTCGGCGCCCATAAGGACTGTGAGGTGGCGCCACTGCCCACCATTTACAAACGCCAGAAGGTACCAAGGAGTGGCAGGAGGGAGCAGGCAGGTGGAGGTAGGGACGTGAGGCAGGGTCTCGGACTCCAGGCTCTCGCTCCACTTGGCTTTAAAGGCAGGGAGATCAGGGCTCGTTCGGGTCTATGTGTGACTCAGTGCGGGGCCTCTCTCGTCCTCACTTGCAAAAGGGGAATGAAAGGCCCGTTTCTGAGGGGTGTTGTGAGGATCAGGTTAATAATGGCTGAGGGGCGGCTTCACTGTGGTGGCCTAGAGACTCCCAAGGCCTCACCATCACACAACTCTATTCGATATGAAGCGTGATTTTAAAATGATATTGGTAGGCACAAAGGAAAGCAACCAGAGGAGGCAGGTGGTGGAGGAGAGGACAGAGACTGAGTGGAGGGAAGTGGACCCCGAGCAGTGAATACAGAAAAGGCAGGACACCCCAACGCCAAGCCTAGCAGTATTGTGAGCCAGAGATGAGATTCCATCTCCAAGCCCTAAGTGCCTGCGTTGAAGACCCCCAGGAATCATAAGGTAACTGGATCCCAGAAGCTAAAAGCCACCTGGCTTTTGACAAAAACAAGTAGAAGTTGTGTCTGGAGGGAAAAGCCCCTCAATTTAGGCCTTTGGGTTTTCTTTAGATGAAGAACGATAAAAGATTAGTTCATTATTAAAGAGAGGCAAAGAAATGTACCCCATGAGCAGAATTGGCAAAAAAAAAAAACAATCTACTGATCTAGACCCCTGAGGAATTCAGATATTGGAGTTATTGGAAAATAGTATGTCTGGAAGACTTTAAAAAATGGAATTTAAAACTCAAGTAATAGTAGACTATCAAAAATACAGATTTCACAAAGAACAAAACAGAACTTTTAAAAATAAAAATATAATTGTCATAAAATATTCAAGAGATGAATTAAGTGACAGATGTTTCCGAAGAGAGAATTAGCGAACAGTTAAAAGAAACTGAACACACAGCCACATCAGTCACGGAATACAGAGAATGGAGAAGAGGCAGCATTATCCCAATGGTAATCCCTGAACATTTTTGAGGACGGATGGAAGCTACAAGTGAAGCTTGGAGCCCAGAGCCTGGCATTTGGCAACTATTTGACAAATGTCTGTTTCTTTCCCATTGGTGTTGCGGGGCTTTCCCTCTCCACTTCCTTCCATTGATTGCCTACAGGATATGCTTCCACACGTTTGGGATGGTTCTAGGCTCTCTAGGTCTTTGCCTGAAGATGCCTTGCGGGTGGGGGGAAGGGACAGCCCCTCCAGGAGGGGCCTGGGTGCAGGGAGGGGCGTGGCTCTGGCCCAGGCCCTGAGCACTGGCCTGTGTGTGGCAGAGTGAGCTGAGCGATGGCATCGCAATGCTGGTGGCCGGCAATGACCGCGTGCAAGCAGTGATCACGCAGATGGAGGAGGTGTGCCAGACCATCGAGGTGAGCTGGGATGGAGCGGGGGAGTTTCCAGGCTCCTGGGTGTGTAGGGTCAGTCTGCTGGGTTTGAATTCTGGCTGTGCTCCTCATTAGCTCTCTGACTTTGCTCTGGCTACATAACTTCTTTGTGCTTTGCTTTTTTTTTTAATTACATATAAATGATTATAATGAAATGATATGGCAGCTACCTCATTGGATCTGTTTGAGAATTAAATGAGATAACAAAATCCAGAGCCAGAGGAACAGATAGCAACCATGAAACTCCTTTAGTATGTTATTATCATTACTGAAAAGATCTGGGAATGGGCAGTTCTCGGCTGGCCTTCTGGCTCTATCACTAATTGGTGGTGTGATTGTTTTCCTTCTTGGACTTTGTGAGTTCCATTAAGTGGGGATTGGCCAGTGGGGGTGTGCCCGTCCAGCTACAAGCCACCCTCTTCGCTCCTGGTTTTTCAGGACAACAGCCGGAGGCAGAAGCAGTTGCTGAACCAGAGGTTCGAGACCCTGTGCGCAGTGCTGGAGGAGAGGAAGGGAGAGCTGCTGCAGGCGCTGGCCCGGGAGCAGGAGGAGAAGCTGCAGCACGTTCGGGGCCTCATCCGCCAGTACGGAGACCACCTGGAAGCCTCCTCGAAGTTGGTGGAGTCGGCGATCCAGTCCATGGAGGAACCACAGATGGCCGTCTACCTGCAGGTTAGCCAGGGGAGGGTGGGCCCTGCCCCTAGGGGCCTTGACACCTGGAGACCTGGGTTCAGTTAAACTCTCATCTCTAGCACTTATTTGCCCTACAGCCTTGAGCAGTCAGTCACCTACCTTCTGAGCTTTCTTTCTTCTTAACAAACTGGGTCAAGCACCCCCCCTACGCGCCACAGGGCTGTGGTGGGCGCCAGAAATGGGGCTTTGCTAGAGGCTGGCAAATGGCTTACTCTGTTCTCCTTTCTTCCCTGCAGCAGGCCAAGGAGCTGATCAATAAGTGAGTGGGGGCAGTGGGGATGGAAAGGACTGGGCGCAGGGGCTGCCATGTCAAGGGGAGCGGGAGAGGGTGTTGGAGCGTTTCCAGCTGAACGGCTGCCATTGCTGCAGGGTCGGCACAATGTCGAAAGTGGAGCTGGCTGGGAGGCCAGAGCCTGGCTACGAAAGTATGGAGCAGTTCAGCGTGAGCGTGGAGCATGTGGCTGAAATGCTGAGGACCATCGACTTCCAGCCCGGTGAGGAGGAGGGAGAATGGGGCAGCGGCTACCGGGACTGGGAGGCCCGGCCCTGCCCGTGGGGGAGGGGCGGGGTGACCAGAAAAGGGGGCTCTGACTCAGGGCTTCCCTGTGCTCTAGGAGCTTCTGGGGAGGAAGACGACGAGGAGGCACCACTGGATGGGGAAGAGGGTGGCGCAGGGCCAGAGGAAGAGCAGCTGGATGGTGAGTTGGCTCGAAGGGACTTGGCTGGCGTGCTCCTGTCCCTTGCTCCCTCCATGCAGAAGCACACCCCCATTCCCCCCAGCTCTCCTCTGGGACTTGGGAAGCCTGGGTTGGGTAGGGAAGCGCGTGTGTGGGGGAGAAACCCCCTGGTAGGGAAAACAGCCTAGCTGGGTGCACAGCAGCCTTGCTCCTTTTGCGCTCACACCCGATGGAACTTTCTCTCTCGTCACAGCCCAGCACTGACGGCCCCGCTGAGAAGCCACTTCCCTTGGGTCCAGCGCTGGCGCTCTGCAGAGACCACCGCACCACCTGGCAGTCCCGCGGAGGGGGAGGGCTCCATAAAGGACTAAAGCAACTGGCCGCAGCTCCTTTCACTGCTCGCTCAGCCCAGCCGGGCTCCTCAGGCCACTCACCACCATCCCACCCTTCCCGTAACTGGGACCATTTCGGTACCCCTATTGGGCACCTCCTTGTCATTCGGCTGGAGGGCAGAACTCAGTGCCAAGAGGAAAGGGGGGGAGCTGCGGTGGCGCTGGGATGTGCATTCTTGGGGGACTTAAGCCACTGGCACACGGCCCCTAAGCGATTCTCGTGGAGCCCTCCCGCAGCATCAGGTTCCCTCCTGCCAGTCTGGGATCCCCACCCTGCGCTGGTTTCCCGCGCCCCCCAATGGAAGCCAAAGGCTCTTCAGCACTTTTATTTAAAAATAGTTATGCAGAGTGCTCAGGGTGTCTCTGACCGCCACAGTCCTGGGGGACTGGGTCAGCTTGCACATGTCCCAGCAGGGTGGGAGTGGGAGAAGGGAGGGGTCGAGGTTTACAGGGCCCAGACCCCACCGATCACTTGCCCACGGAGTCGAATATGATGCGGTTCTGCTCGGCGCGCTCCCGTTGACTCTGAGCTCGCGCCAGCTCCAGCAGGGTCCGCAGCAGGTGGAAGGTGAGGTCAATCGACAGAGGAGGGTCGTCCCTTCGCAGTCGCTCGCTAGCCACCCCGGGTCCCCATCGACCGGGCCCTGCTCGGTGTGGGAAGTGCTCCGCCAGCAGCAAGAGGAGGGCGAGAGCCCCGCCTCCCTGGTTCCGCACCCCAGGACTCCAGCGCAGACTCGGGTCTTGGACCCCCGCCGCAGCCGCTGCCTCTGGGCTCCACTGGCTGCTCCCTGGGTGCAACTGTGCCAGGAGTAGCACAGCCGCCAGGAGAGCCACACGTCCCGCCTGCCTCATGGTGCCACCAGTCCTGGACACACAGGGGCAGTGCAAGGTGAGGTGCGCCCGAGGCAGTCACAGGTAGTGCTACTCCCTTTCCCGTGCACATCCAGAACCCCTCCGGGGCTCTGCAGGTGCTGCCCCATGCCCACAGCCTCCCCTGCAGCCAGCGGCCGCTGCCCAGTGCTGTGGCACCCTGTCCTCCCTCCCTCCCTCTAGGCGGATGCGGTAGGTTAGCTAAGCGCAGAGTCCCGGTGCTGGAGTCTGGTGGACGCTCTGAGCCACTCACGGTTGCCGAAGAGCGAAGAGCGTCTGCACCTCGCAGGACGGAGCTTCAGTCGCTGTCCCTTGGGGAGCACTGAGGGCGCCTTGGGAAATACGGGGTCTGTCCCGGGACCGTCGCCAGCCTTATATAGCGCCAGGACAGCTCCTACTGACGTCAGCGAGGAACATGCACTGATTGTAGAAGCATGACGACCGCAGGCTGCGAGTCCGGGGAGTTGTGAGACCCCGAGGGGCGCGCCTCAGGACACAGGATTGCGTCTGGAAGGCTAGTGCTGAAAGCGGCACCTGACTGAAAAGCAAGAAGCAGGCTAGGATGTAGAGATTGCTCTGGGAGCCAAGAGCCCCCCTACCCGCTTTAGATAGTCATTAGTGCGGAGTCCCAGGGGC